GACGTTGAAGTGGAGTTTGTTCCTCCTTTCTGCAACAAATATAGAATGTTTAAACATATTCAAGCTAAATGCTATCTTACTAATCATGAATTAAGAAACCTTAAAGGAAAGATTTCTTTTAGGGAAGAAGGTAGGACGTTTAGTATAGGGGTTTCTAATTTTAATCAGAATGTTCAAATTAATACAATTTGAATGATGATTGTATTGGAGATCAGGTTTTTCATATAAAAAAGGATCGATTGGATAATAAATCTAGTGAGGTTATTGAAAAACAAGATGATTTGCTTTTAAACAACAATCTCAACCTGGATTTATTAGCTGGTCCTTCTTGTGTAGTGATAGATGGTCATATAGATAATGAAGGTAATCCCCATGTTAGTAAGGAAAAGGTGAGCGTGGAAGGTTCACTTGGTGAAGATATAAGTGAAACATATTCTTGTTGATAATTTCTATATTCTTAAAAACATTCGGGATGATGTAAAGAATTGTTTAGTTAATAGTTTGACTCTTTCTAGAGCTGAATTAAAGGAAGAATGGCTATTTCATAAATTGAGAAAAAAGAAAATTAAAGGTATAAGAGAGCTAAGTTATGTGAATCCTAAGGCAGCTCAAATGCATAATTGTGGAGAATGGAAAGGATTTGAGAATCAGATTTCTTTGTCCTCTAGGAGCACTAGAGGAACAAAATCATTTGAGTTGCCTTAATATTTGGTGTTTAATCTTCTTATTTAGAATATTAAAGGCATTGCTAAAGAGAATGCCTCTAATAAAGTTAGGAATATTATCAAAACTCATAAGTTTAAGTTTTATTATTATTATTATTGAACCTTTTGGAGATAAAATGAACAATGATAAATATTAGAAGATTTGAAAATTTTAAGTTATTTTATAATTCTAATAACAAGGTTTGGTTTCTTTAGAGAAACATTATTGATATTATTGTGATTGTGGATCATTCTCAATTTTTTTTCTATCAAATTAGATGTGATAGTTATGCTTTTCTTGTTTGTATTGTGTACTATAACTATTTTAAAGCTGCTAGAATTGAGTGATAGAATCTGTTGTTCTCTGTGAAATCTGATATTAATGATCTTTGGTTAGTTAGAGGTGATTTAAATATGATTTTGTTTGCTAATGAGAAAAAGGGGGTTCAACCTCAATTTTATGACGCACTTTCTGATGCTGGTTTCTTTTGTTTGCGGTTTTTGAACAAACTTTTCACGTGGTCTAGAGGAAGGATATTTGAATGACTAAATAAGTTTGTCTCTAATAATCAGTGGGTGGATTGCTTCCCTATTACTAGTGTTCATCATTTGGCTATTACTTATTCTGATCATGCTCCTTTATTGTTGTTTGTGAAAGTCAGTAATAAACCTTTGGTCTATCAACTTAAATTTTTTTAATCTGTGGATTCTTCATGCTTCTTTTAGTCAATTTGTGAAAGATAATGAGAATTCTGATTATAATGGTAATTATGGTCATAGATTATGGAGTTTACATAAAAATTTGGCTTGCAAACTTAGAAAGTAGAATTGGGAGGTTTTTGGTATCCTTCATAATATTATCAGAATGTTGACAATAAAGTCAAAAGTTTGGAGGAGTTTAACAATAATATGATTGATTTTACCACTTTATTAGTAGGTCAATATGAGTTGAATAATGATATTGCTATGGAGAAATTCTTCTATAGTCAGAAAATTGTGGGCCATCAAATGGTTGATGATTAGAGAAATACCTCTTATTTTCATGCTTTCATTAAAAAAAAAATCCAATGTGATAAATAGAATTAAGTAGAGGGATGGAACTTAATTACTTACGTTTGATCAAATTGAGGTTGATGGCATTAGCTTTTTCTCTAATCTTCTTAACGATGATGGTTATCATTTGGAGAGGACTAATGGTGATATATTTAATGACAATCATAGCCATACTGGTATTGTTGACCTTTCCTTGGATCCTGTAAGATTAAAAATGCTATTTACTCTATGGAAAGTAAAACTGCTGGGCCAGATGGATTTTTTAATGCTTTTTATAAAATTTGTTGGGAGGTGGTCAGTGTTGATGTTATTACAGTTATTCAAGATTTTCTTAAAGGCATTGAGCTGCCTAAATATTTCAAATCTTCTAATCTGATTTTAATTCCTAAAAGTAAAGTTAGCAGTGGTTGTGATGCTTACAAACCTATTAATTTGAATATTGTGATATCCAAGTTTATTTCTAAAATGATTGTCTCCATAATGCAACCTCATCTTCATAAACTTATTAGCAATCATCAATATGCTTTAGTTAAGGGCAGTTTTATTTGTTATAATGCTTTGATTGCTCAAAAATTAGTTCTTGATTTGGATAAAAAAGACAGGGTAGGTAATGTGGTTTTCAAAATGGATATTAAAAAGGCTTATGATACTATCAGATGGTAATTTATTTGGGACGTTTTAAGAGCTCAAGGCTTCAACAATTCTTCTTGCAAACTTATCAAAAGAATTATGGATAATAACTTTTATTCCATTTTGATTAATGGGAATAAACATTGCTATTTTAAAGCTTCAAGAGTGATTAGACAGGGAGATCCACTTTCTCCTATTATTTTCATTATGGCTTTTGACCATCTTTTGAGATACCAACATAATATTTCATCAATTATCCTGGTATGAGCTATGCTGATAAAGGGAACTATGGGATTTCTCAACTTGTTTATGTTGATGATCTTGTGATTTTTACGAATGCCAATAATAGATCCATTAAAAAGTTGTGGAAAGGCTTGGATAACTTTTAGGAAGCTTCTCGGCTTATTTTCAATACTGACAAATACAAATTTTATCGTGGTAAGTTATTTCATGTGTTAAGAGAAATCAAATTCAAAACTTTACTAATTGTGTGAAAGGTGATCTCCCAATGCCATATTTGGGTTATTTTATGGACAAAGAAAAAAGAAGGAATCATCCTTTTGGTAATTTGATTGATAAGATCAATAAGAGTATTATATCTTGTGAGAACAACTATCTTATGAACAATTTTTAAAATTACTCTTTTAAAAAGTATTATTTCTTATATTCCCTTAAATACTATGCGAATTATAAAGATTCCTTCTAGCAATTAAAAAGGCTAGAGAACATCTTTAATAAATTCTTGTGGGCTAGAAAGAAGCATAAGATTCATTGGATGACTTGGTCTACAATTTGTAAGCCTGTTAGTTTTGGTGGCTTGGGTTTTAGAAGTATTAATAAATCTATGAAAGTTAACTTTATTAAGTTTTGGTTGCATTTTAGAGCATGTGATTCCCTTTGGGCTTAAATGATTACCAGTAAGTATTGCTCTAATGTTCATGCTCTTTCTATCACTACTAATAATATTGATTCGACAATTTGGAAGGAGATGCTTAAGGTCTCGAAAGAGACTGAGGAGCTACTTTATTGGGATATTGGTAAAGGCAATTGCAGTTTTTGGTATGATGAAAGGTTGGGTCTTTTTGCTCTGGCTTATCACTATGGGAGTCCTTTTGATATTAAGTTTGTTGTGAAGGATTATTGGAATAATTACAGTTGTGATGTTTGACTATTAGCTAATAATGTGAGCCATTCTAATGCTTATATTATTGCTAATGTTCCCAGCTTATAGGGTATTCATGATAATGCAAGTTAAAGCCATTAAGTGATTTTAAGTTTAAAACCATTGTTGATTCTTTTCAAAATGTTTAGGGGCTTGATTTGAAATGGGTTTGGACTCTTGGAATAAACCTACTAAATATTTTTTCTGTTGGAGGATTTTACATCATAATCTTCCTACTGATAATATTCTAAAATTCAAGGGCCTAAGAGTCTCGTCGTGCTATCTTTTATTCAAGCAGCAAGAGAAAAACATGAAGCATGCTTTCATTTCTTGTTATTTTGCTAAAGAAATATGGAAGCTAATATTTTCATTTCTTGGTTATATTCATGATTAGAACAGGCTTGGTGCTCGGTACTCGGTATATTGGTAATATTCCTATTTTTGTCTTTTGATTTATATGGAGGGCTAGAGATGATGTTAAGCACAATGATAAGTGTATTAATATTTCTTATACTTTCAAATTAATTATTAACTTCATTTTTAAAATTCTTAAATATGGGAGTTAACAAACATGTGAACAAATCAATCCTGAAGTATTTGTGAAGTTGAAATTTCTTATTCCTGTTAAGCTAAAGGCATGTGTTAGCTTGGTTTATTGGAGTAGGCCGGCTCTTAAATATGGGAGTTAACAAACATGTTAACAAATCAATCCTGAAGTATTTGTGAAGTTGAAAATTCTTATTCCTGTTAAGCTAAAGGCATGTGTTAGCTTGGTTTATTGGAGTAGGCCGGTGAATCTTGTCATTAAGATAAATGTTAATGGTAGTTGGAAAGTTTATAATGCTTGTTGTAATTCTTTAGCTTGGTATTCTGCTCTGTCGGTCCCTATTTCTCCTTCAGTCACTAAAGCTAAAGCAATAGCTAAGCTCTTTCTTTGGCCAAGAACAACAGTTGGCATTGGAGGGCTTTGTAGAGATAATTGTTGTAATTGTGTGGCTTGGCATTCTGCTCCCTTGGTCCCTATTGCTCCCTCAGTCACTAAAGCTACAGCTATAGCTAAGCTCTTTCTTTGGCCAAGAACAACAGTTGGCATCGAATTCATGTGGAGACTGATTCTCTGTTAATTTGATAATTCTGTGCGTTAAAGGTGGATTAGTCATGGAATATTCATGTACATTGAAGAAGATTTTTGCTTTAAATTCTTTTTAACAGGTTCCTTGGCCACATGTTGAAAGAGAAGGTAATAAGCCGCCTAATTAGGCTGTGTGGTGGCGGTTCTTAGTTTTTCTCTTGTTTGCTATATTTTGAGTACGGTGGGACTACGAGCCTACCTTCGTATCTCTTTTCTGAAATAAACAAAATTCCCTTGAGCATTCTATCAAAAAAAAAAAAATAAATTTTTATAACAAACCATAAATTGGGATGAAGCATATTTGTACATTACAAAAAAGAAAAAAAACAAAAAGCCACATTCATTTAGTACATCTTTGTAATCATCTCAACGTTCACAAACTATACTGCAAATATAACTGACTGATGAAAAGAACTTGGATGAAAAAGAGCAAATGAATATGAAATGAATTCACAGAGTTTCAGTCAGAATCTTTAGGCAATAAACAACTCCACAATAATGAAAGCAATTATCACCAATCCAAAGCAGTTTAATATCTTGTTCAGTTGGCAAGATGACTTGGACAGCTATTGAACATTGCATGCCACATGAAGGCTCTGGAAAGGACCATCTCCAGTTCATGGTGGGTCCAGATCTGAGTAGGGAGGTGTTGAAGGAACATAACCATCTCCTGGAATTCAAGCTTTTGGAGCTTATCTGACCACTGAAAATATAGATTTAATCAACTGTAATTCTTTGTATTTAACAGAGCAATAACTGGAATTAAAATTTTAAAAAATACAAGAAAAATGACATGACAAAAGTAGAGCATCTAACCTTGTGTGGAACTTTTCAAGAAAATTTAGAGGTTGACAGAAGTATGGTTTTTTTTAGACTGTTTCTGAGCCGAGGCTCTTGGGATTCTTAACTTTGTTTCCAAACAATATGCTAAGTGTTTGAGCACAGAGTGGTTAAACTAATTAAGAAAATTATGTCTTGCTTCTTGATGTGAGTTTTATAAAACTTATGATATTAAAGACTTGCATAAATATTACAATGAAACTTATTCTATTAAAAACTTGCTTAAATATTACAAGTTGGTGTATAACTATCACGCTGGAAGAACATTAACTAAAAAAAGGTTGGATTTCCTTGACCATATCCATGCTTAAGAATTCTATCATAATGCTGAAAAATACCACCTCATGCACAAAGTAATTTGGAATGAGGCCACAAATTGGACCCTAGGAAAAATCACACACGCGAAATCCCAACATATTTGGTTGCCTTCAGTGAGAATTACTTGGCCACTCTGCTTTCGTCATACTTTTTATTATTGTTCTCCTAAATCTTAAACTTATGCGATTAGTAGCTTCTCACAAATTGATAAAAAGGAATATTTATATTAATAAAAGTTAGGAAAATTCTAATATGAGGAAGTTCACAATTCATAATAAATGCATTTGAAATTTTTTTTATTGATGCAAAACTAATATTGCTAACGAGAAGTTGATTTTCAGAATTCAATGACCGTTGTAAAGCTTAAATTGGAAGTAAGCATTACTAAGATAAACTTTTCTCTAGTATTGGCAAGATTCTCCATATAAACCAAAAGGTTATCTTCATAAAAAGAAAAAAAAATCAAAGTCGACAATGTAATGAAAGATACAATGGCTTCGAGTTGTGTAATCTAAATCCAATTTTGGGAAACATTCCAAAGCCAACATCTAGGTATTAATTTATGAGCAAGGTACTGTAAACATACCGTTAAGAGAAAACTGGCAGATATATACACAAGAAACTCCGGTAATGAATCTCCTTCGGCCAGGTATGTATCCCACAGTCGTGTAACGAGATGAAAAGGGATCTATATGGTTAGAAAATAAATCAGCTACTTAGATGACGACCAATTTCTGTAGAGCTAACAAGAGAAAAACTCACCTCTCGTATCAAGAGACAATTGAACCAACGAAAAGCAAACTGAAGAAACTCGAGTCCTTGTTCATCCATGTGTCTTGAAACAGGTTCTTCCAAATCCCCAAAACAAAAGCAGAAATCATTGGAATTAGAAATACTAACCTAAATCAGTGTAACAATTTTTCTTGAGTTTCAGGGAAAGAAAAGAGCAAGAAAGCCATAGAAAAAGATTGAGTGGTTTATCTGACATTCAAGTAAGAACATATTCTATATTTCTTCTAGCCGACTGATTCATAATAGTGATAATAAAGGAGATGAAGCAAACTGAGATAACTTGGAGTTTAATGAAGTAGGCGGTTGAAATGAAATATAGGAAACTAACCTTACATGGATAATATTAAAAACACTAAAAGAGCTATGACTATACAGATCAGATTATGTACCATCAATTCGACGAACAAGTTCTTTCAACTTAAAGACAAGACGTTGTATTCCCGGCTGAGCAAATGTGTAATGGTCCTGCATGCCATCAAGCAGCTTAGAAAGACACCAATAACAGTCGGCTTCAATATTGGAGATTGTTTGTGGAGAAAGATGTGAAATGTCCCAACTCTCCATATTTCCATCAAGATGCTCTTCCAAGAATACTACTAAAAATGGAGTGACAAGGTCGTTGATTCCTTGGACATATCCACTTGCTGGATGGCGGATAGCCCTAAAACAAATTTTGGATAAATCATATCTAAGATGATGTAAGAAAAACAGAAAAAAGAAAAGCATAAATGGCAATGCAGCCCCAAATTTAAAACACGTATCACTGCTCCAAGAAAAACATATAAAACGAAATGTTAGGAATTATTTATTTAATTTCAGAAAATGATTATTTAAATATAACATTTATTAAACATTGATACTAGAAGTTTTATCAAGCAATACCAGGAATTGCTGTTGACGACTAGAGCATTCTAAAGTTTAAATACGATGTTGATTTTGCAAAAGAAAAAAAGGGAGCAATTAAGGTAATTCTTTTAATTTGTAAGTTCTTTTATTTAACACTGTCATTGCCAGTCTCAAGCCCGGAAGTGAAAAGTGGAGGGTTGCGTTAGGTAGTCGACAACCAACGTAAAACTTGTCTAAAAAATCATGACATGAATCCTTTTGCTTATTGTGTAAGTGCTAGGGCGTCCCCTGGAAGCAACGTGCTGTATAGCCAAAATACAGTGAAAAGTGTGCAAGGGCTGCTACACCTGCGCTCGGGTGTAGTTTCAAATAAGCAAGGGTTCCCACATTATGGACGAATGCGGGTAAAGAAGTTAGTCCATGAAACTAATGAAACTAATATTAGGATAGGATCTTAGAATATAGGTACTCTCAATGGTAAATTAGTGGAATTAGTTAATGTTATGATTTATAGGAAAATTAATATCATATGTATTCAAGAAACTAATTGGGTTGGAGAAAAAGCTAAGGACATTGATAATTTAGGTTTTAAATTTTGGTATTCAGGTAAGAGTCACACTAGAAATTGTGTAGGTGTAATTATAGATAAGAGTTTTAAAGATAATGTTGTAAAAATTAATAGAGTTGGAGATAGAATTATAGCCCTTAAGATTATCATTGATACTAAGATTTTTAATATAATAAGTGTCTATGCTCCTCAAGTAAGTTTAGATACAAGGTCTAAATATAATTTTTGAAATGATTTAGAAGACTTAATACAAATGATACCTCTTGAAGAAAAAAATTTTATTCGAGGAGATTTTAATGGACATGTCAGTAGAGTGGTAGAAGACTTCAGAAATACTCATGGTGGCTATGTTTTTTGAGTAACTAATGAAGAAGGTAGAGATATTTTAAATTTTGCTTTAGCGTATGATTTTGTTACTACTAATACTTTATTCAAAAAAAAAGATGAGCATCTTATTACTTATAAGAGTGAATTTAATAAAACACAAATTGATTATTTTCTTATGAGAAAAAGAGATCATCGAGATTTTAAGATTGTAAGTTTATTCAAAGCAAGAATTTACGTACCCAACATCGTTTATTAGTTTTAGATTTTAAGATGAAGAGTTGTAAAATAAATAACACTATGACTTATCACCGTAGAATTAAGTGGGGAAACCTAAAAGACACAAATAAAATTATTTTTATGGGTAAAATTCAAGATTTCAAAATTTGGGATAATTTGGGATATTTATGAAGAAACAAATGTTATGTGGGATAAAGTAACAAATACTATTAAACAATGAACAAAAGATGTGTTTGGGGAATCAAAATAAAAATAGTTTGTGGTGGAATAATATTGTGCAAGAAAATATAAAATATAAGAAGTTAAGTTATATAAACTGCTTTAAATGTAAAAGCTTAGATAACTGGTAAAAATATCAAACGGTCCGCAGAATGTCTAAAAGAACAATCTGTGACGCTAAAAATTCTGCTTTTAATGATCTTTATAATATATTAGATACTAAGGAGAGTGAAAAATATATGTAGAAATAGGCAAACAAAGAGAAAAAAAAGAAAGGATTTGACTCAAGTAAAGTGTATTTAAAATGAAAATCAAAAAGTATTTTTCTAGAAAAAGATATTCAACATAGGTGAATGAGTTATTCTGAGAAACTTTTTTAATGAAGTTTCTGAAAATAAGATCGACTTTAGTGATCTTAATATCGTGAATAATAATAAAACGTTTCATTTTTACCGTCGAATTAGGAAAAAAGTAGTTTAGGAGGCTTTAAAGAAAACCAAGGGTGGAAAGTCTGTAGAACCTGATGATATCCCAATTGAAGTGTGAAAATATTTATGAGATTTGGGAGTTTGTTGGCTTACTAAACTCTTTAATATTATTTTAAAAACTAAAATAATGTCTGAGGAGTGGAGGAAGAGTATTTTGGTCCCCATTTTTAAGAATAAAGGGGATGCACAAGAGTGTGCAAATTATAGAGGAATTAAGTTGATGTGTCATACTTTAAAATTATGGGAGAGGGTAATTGAACATAGGTTAAGAAGGTAATTGAATATAGATTAAGATGCATTAGAACTATTTTTCATAATCAATTTGGATTTATGTCGGGCAG